GGGGGGGGCGAGAGCCCCTGTTCACACGTCACCAACCAGCAGCCACAAGGGGGTGGGGCAGGGACTTTTCCAGAGGATCACTGCAGACACACACACCGTGTGACCCCAACGAGCTGGCCAGAGACAACACATCTGGCAACCTAAATACTCTCAGACCCAGAGTCTGAACATGGACTGATCGCTGCCCCAGACACCAAGCAGGGCCGGCGTGCAACTCCCCATGCTTACTACCACAGACTTTGACAAACTTACTCCAAGCTCACGATTACCCTGGGATGGCGGAGGACACCAGCTGCAAGAAGTCATCTAGGCATTAGGGCCTGCCGCACAATGCCTAATCAACAGCTGTGTAACCTGACACAGAAGGCCTTTAACAAGCAGCAAGGCCTCCACTAAAGGTGTTTGTCAAACCCCACTGATTCTGAACTTCACAACTCAGAATCCAAAGCGGGCACCAGAAGGCACCCAGCATTGCCACAATGCAAAACCCTTCTACAGAAAGCCCCTAGCCAGAAGAGGACAGAGCCATCACCATGGCAACAGACCCAGGTTCCAGACCAACCACTGGGAAAAGGCGTCCTCATCCTGCAAACACCACGGTATGTCCGACAGCAGTCCACCACAACATCCTCCTCCACACGGGTGCTGAACGGAGGCTACACAAGGACAGCTGGACATGCCTACCTCTGGGTTACAGGAGCTGCTGACACTCGCAAAAGAGCTCCTTGAACAAAACTCAACTAAGGAGTATTGAGAAGGACAAACCTCTGACTCCTTGCCTGCTGCAACACAGCATCAGGCCCCTCCAAGGGAGGAGCATCCCTTGAAACCGGTCGACACCCCCAGAAGCAGCCAGACAACGTTGGATTGAGCAGCGGGCCCACCTGCCCAACAGCGAAAGCTCTACCAACACAACTCAGGCAAGCTCAAGTCGGTGCCGCCACAAGAGCCAAGCGACACCGCAAACATCAGATTTCTAGTGACGTTCGGGCAGAACAGAGAGCTAACAACCACCTGCTGCTCTCCTGCCATCATCACTAGGTCAGTCTGAAACTCTCTGCACACTACAAAATCTCCATAACAATTACCTGCAATCCCTGGAACCACCTGCACTCTCACCAGTGAGAGTCTAACCCGGCTGTTCCACATCGTGGGTACCACGGATAGCCTACTGGCTAACAACATCGACAAACAACCATCTTACCCAGACTAACTCAACAGGTGACACAGCCTCGACACCTGCTGCACAAGCTCGAGGACCCTCACCTTGCTACAGCCTACATCACCACAGCACACCACCTAACAGCATCCACCATGGCTCCACAACCACTCCTGGAGGCAACAATAGCCAGAGAAGCCACCACTGTCTCCCAGCCGTGAGTGGCAGGTGCGTGTCTGGATTGTTCAGCACCTTTTACGTCGCTCGCTGTTGTCTATTGGATGGACAACAACGTTCGAAAGGGGGGAATTATGTAGCATTTGGACCAATCAGACACACAACTTTTTGTTATATTTAACAAATAATATCGAACTCCCCATCACCTAACCAAATGGCCAATTACGAGGGTCTATGGACCCTTCCCCCGAAATGCACCTAACACCTCAGAAAGGCAGAACAGGCCTCTGGTTCCATGGTAACCAATGCTGATATCACTGGTTTTATGGCCTAAAAGGAATGCAGGGGATAAACTCCCTCATTTTCCTCATAAGAAAGGCACAAATGCACAGGAGAAACTGACTTTTCTACTAATTAATTCATAGGAAAACCTTCTTTGAATGAACACCCATTTTCTTCAGGCCATTGTGTATATTATTGCTGTGTTGTATTTAATCTGTTGTATTATAGACTATTTTTATTCATGCTTACGATAAACCACTCATTCATATAAGTAACTCTACCATGTCTAGTATCTATGAATTCGTCTTCGGATGATCTAACTGAGAGTGCATATTACATGCTGATACCTCTGCAACATATTGATGTTCTAAGAATCGGTACTAATTTGTGCCTCAACACTCCAGCGAATTACATATGCAAAATACCATGCTTACAGACAAAGAGTCATAAAAATCCTCAGTATTTCCAACCTCCCGCTTGGGATTTCAGCCTTCCTCATTGGACGAACCCATCTTGAGAGGCGTGAATCTCTGCAGGCTTTAAAAGGCCACACTCCATGTGACCCGCCCTGTTCGGTGGTTCAGTGAGATGCTAAGATGAAGATGTGAGAAACGCTCCAGGATACCAAAGCTCGTGCCAGGCTCCGGCCTAGTCCTTTTCATTCATCAAGTGATTCTGACTCAAACTAGCTCTTTTTCATCAACCAACTTCAGCAAGATCTTGGGGCCTTAAGATTGCATCAGGAATCTTTTTCAGACATACGCAAGTATCAAACTTAGTCGATTTAATTGATGCATTAAGTATCAGTTACACCTTTTTACAAGGTTTGTTTGAACTAAGAATCTGACGTTTTCCCTCAGGTTTTAGATCTGCTGAATATGCAAAATGGTTCCATAAATGTCATTCCTTATGTCTCTTTCTTTAGTGCTAAACTTTAACCCTTTCCTATACCAACTGTATGTGTGTGTGTGTGTATGTTTATGTTAGACCGGCTTAATGTGTTTGTGTAGTATGTTAGACTAGTTTAAGTTTTTATGTAGTTAATAAAACCTTACTTGTATCACACTTGGCGTGTTCATTGTTTACTCATAACCGGAGTCAATAATCATGCAGATTTACGTTACAAACTTATAGAATTGTACAGTAAGAAAGTTATTTCCTTTAACCAGGAAATTAACGTTCTTAGAATTGACAAGACGGTTGACCCTGAGTGGTCAGCTAAATATCTACAGTGGATCTAAAATATTAATAATTAATCATAATTAGTTATGGTTAATTATTCATATTTCCCCATGAGCTGATTCGCTACAGTGCGATGTCCGAACTGATTGCACTATATTATATGTATAATCGTCTTCTTAAATTCATTTTAAACCTCTTAAATCTATTTTTTTTTTCAAAGTTTTTAAATTCCTTGTTTTATTGTTGTGATTATTGTTTTTATTTTATTTTATGTAAAGCACTTTGAATTACCATTGTGTATGAAATGTGCTATACAAATAAACTTGCCTTGCCTTGCCTTAAATAAAATGATTATTATTATTATATTTTTGATATTCATTCATTCTTTCCTTAATTTATTCAAAATATTATTTAGCCAAAATTATTATTATTATTATTGCTGTTCTTGTTGTATTTACATTTTTTTTTCCAAAATATGGCTCCAAAACCATATTTAAAACAAATTAGTGAATGAATGAGTATCAAGAATATAATAATAATAATAATAATACAAATAATAATAAACCTGAATTAAATAAATACAATTTTGGTGATAATTATTATATTTTATTTCTCCCCCAAATATTGTCTCCTAAATAAATGTCAGTACTAATTAAATGGCTTGTTCTTCGTCGTCGTCGTCGTCATCGTCGTCTTCTCCTTCTTTTATCTTTCTTAGAACTGTACAATTGCCCAGTTGTTTGGGTACATGCTGTATTTTAAGGTGTCTGTAAGGAAACCTAACATGCTTGCTGTTTTCAAAAGGAGCGTGATAAATTCAGCACTCCAGGGTAGCCAGACTGCAAGTATCTCATTGTGGCCTCAGCTATACAATATATCTTTTTCTTCACCTCCACTCCTCTCTTTCCTGCTGTAGTTAAACCATTACCTCAGTCTGTATGGACGCAACTGCACAATCAATCCACCGCCTCTCAGACAAATCAATGTCTCCTTCATATAACAGCTCATATAAACTACTCGTAATTGTTTGTGAATCCTTTGGCTGCAGGTAGGGTGATTTATTGTTGAATTACACTGATCACTGTTTTTTTGTAGTTAGAGGCATTTTTGGATAGGATATGCTCAAGTAGTGGTTTTAGGGAATGCCTGGTTTACCTGTGGCATTGTCTTGAATTAAGCACTTCCTACATCCTTTTTTGTGGGTATTTTAATGGTCTTTAACATTTTATGGGCCATTTTAAATGAACCAAGTGAAAAAACACGAGATCAAAAGGGTCATGCACAGATTACATATAGGGTAAGCTTGGACTATCAGCATTATATATATGTTGGATATTGCTTTTTTTTTAATTTTTAGCTGAGAATGGTTCATTCAGATAGATGAACGGGCCATCTGAGTGACATTTTAAAACATTATTCACACTTTGCTTTGTTTTATGTGGTGTTTAGCAGTCATACAGACTGGCATGCATCAAAAATGGTTTGGCAAACATGAAGGGATATCTAATTTTATAGGAATTATCTGTCTCAGGCAAATTCTTGATCATCTTTAAAAGATTCAGTACCACAAATCTGGTACACTTTGGCTATTTTTCAAAAACCATCACTCATTGTAGCAGCCTGATAACTTCTAAACAGAAAGTTCAGCAGTTAGCAAATAAAAGCTATGAGACTTCTTCCAGAAAAAAAACCCTTTTAAACAGCTTTGTGTATATATTTTAATATATTTATATATTTTATTAATCAATCAATTATTGCAATTGTGCTCCATAATTAAGTCACTTTAAAATTTTTATTTACTGCTTTATTGCTTTGTATAAAAACATTAGCTAAATTAAAGGTGGGGTATGTATTTTTTCAAAAACGCTTTAGAAAACTGAGTCGGGCCGAGTACCAAAACAACTTGTAGCCAATCAGCAGTAAGGGGCGTGTCTACTCATGATGCAGAGGAGAGAGCGCTTAGTGCACAGGACGGACATTAGCCGAGCAGAGCGACAGAAAGATAGAGATGGTAGATATAAAAAACAAAAGAGGAAAACGTCTGCGGAACAAAAGAAGGCTTACGATAAGGCAAGAAGTAGGACCCGTGTAAATATCGGGTCAGCTTTCCAGCGCTGGAGAGAACTCAAGGAGTGGAAGGCCTGCGATCGGACGCCGAGGTTGCTTTGGTTCTTCTCGATAGGTGAGTAACACCGTGTCTCGCGCTGCAGCAGCTAAAGTCCGTCTACACTAGACGCGATACAGCGACCGTTGAAAATCATTTGAAATTTGTGTCAATACGTCATAAATAGAATGCAGCATGCGCAGCAGTTTTCTGTCTGGGATTTGTCGGGTCGTGCCGCACCGCATCCAATGAAGACTGCATCACTGATTATAATGAGTTCTATAGTATTTTGTTGCACTGCGCCGCTTGCGTCCGGTGTAGACACGGTATAACATTGGTTTTGCTTTGTTTCACAGAACTAATTGTTGCTTGGGTTGCGTACGTATGTGTGGGGCTGAGCTATCAAAATAGGGGCGAGACCCTTTTGGGGTAGGGGCGTGTTTGTTTTGTTGATTTGAAATATCAACATTGGCTAACAGAAATCACTTACCCCACATTTAATAATTATTAATCTAGATTCTGAGCTGAATCCTCAGTGCTCATGTCATTGCATTACATTAATTCAGTAATACTTATTGAAAATATTTGCCGCTGCCACTACACCAAACATTCAGTTTTAGTAAAGAAATCCCATCTTTTAACAACACCCCACCCCTCATTTCTACAGGGAAATCAGCTGTATGTGTTTAGAAAAGGAGACTTAATAGTTCTGTAATTTAGAGTCACCAATGCGCTTATAACAAGTTGTTCATAATTAATCAACCAAAATTGTTCTTTAACAAAAGCCAGACACCAGAGACCTTCCGGTAAGCTAAATTTGTGCACATGTAGGCCTAGTAGATGAAATTACTAATGTATTTAGAACGATT